TCTCCGGCTTCTTCACAATATGTAGCTTCGCCATATAAATTTTAAAGTGTTTGTTTGTCTTAGTGTAGTGTATTTTGTATTGTTATGTCCAGTTTTTACATTTATGACATTCTAGTATGTCGGATAGTCCACAATTGACGAAGTAAGTCTATAAACGTTTATCACATATAAAAAAAAAAAATTTTTTTCAACCATAAACTTGGAGTTTTTTATCCAAGTGAATTAATTTTCCTGTTTATAAAAAACGTTTCTTGGCTTATTTCAGATGCCCCTGAAGATGATCTATTGATCGAAAGCGCTTGGGCAAGATTAAATTAATCACCGTGTTCGATAGTTGCCTTGTATACCCTCAAAGTTTAAATACGATGTCTTATATTAGCTTCAAATATTGGCTATTTAATTTTTACCTTGTCCTAGATGTGATAAACATAAAAGGATAATTTTCATATATATATATATATATATATATATATATATATATATATATATATATATATATATATATAAGCTAATCTAACATAAAATACACTTTTAGACCACATTCCATACGACAAAAAGTAACATAGGTTGCCTAACACACAGGTTATTCTCTTAAACATGACTTTAACACCATCGGTGATTTCACATTTTTTATACCCCAAATTAATAAATAAAAAGTTGTTAAATCCCAACACCTAGATTGCTGTTATTATTTTTTAAAATCATCAAAATATTTTTTGAATCTTTTGGCTGTAGTAATATTAGGTATAACTAATATAGTTCCATGTTACATTGACATTTTGTTTTCGACACCGTTCATAGGTATATTGTCAATCAGTTACCAGTTGTTCTCCGTGTGAAGAGGTTTACTCTCCGGCTCTGGAACTCACTTCAGCCATGTATGTCACCTGAAGTAAAATTTAATTTAATACTGAACATCACAGTTTTTTTACAACATGATGTATAATCTTTTACAACTATATGTAATTTAAAGGGTTTTTACCCAGGTATTTTGGTGGCTCAGGCATTATAACCTTGTAAGTATAACCATTTATGCTTTTTAACCATAGTCAAAATTTCATAACCACGTTTGTTTTAACTAAATGGTTTATACTTATTTTAGGCAATTTTAAAATTTTAAACCTGATATTGGACTGTTTAGTCCGAAAACGTTTGTTTTTTTGATGTAGCCTTTTAAGGGTTTTTAAATAAATATACCCATTTACGAAGACTAACCTCTTTTTTGTGATACGTGGTATAGAGCCAGCTACAGGAATTATTTTTCTTGTGAATATGAAAAAGATCCTCATAAGCAAGTATTGTCTCTTCCCCTAAAACTACGTCTAGTTAAATGCTACATTTTCCGATCTTACTATATTCTGTGGAGGCCTGAACGCTGACAGAGACGCTCACACGAAAACTCACGAAGCATTGGAAATGTGGATGCACCGACGCATTCTTCATAAATCTTGGATCGAAGATGTCACCAACATAGAGGTAATCCAAAGAATCGGAAAGGAGAAAGAAATCTGAGCACAATTAAACAAAGAAAGTTTGAATATCTAGGCCACATATTGAGACACGATAAGTACCGTCTACTGCAATTGATTCTCCAGAGATTAACCTTTAGAGATTAACAATTTAGTATATTTGAAATAATTTAATCTATTCTTCAACTAAAAGTACGAATGAATAGTGCATATTATATATATATAGTTGCCGTATATAAATTAAACCGGGTTAATTTTTGTATTCAATTTATATTGTGCCGTTTCCGAGAGAGCTTTTTGGCATATTTGTTTGCTGTAGATATTAAACAAAAACGGTGACAATATACAACCCTGTCATACTACTCTACGTATTTCTATTTCGTCCGATATTTGGTTTTCTATTTTTATATTAGCTCGCTGATTCCAGTACAGATTTAATATTATTTGAATGTCTCTGGTGTCGATGTTCTTACCTTCCAGGATTTCTTTGAGTTGATTGTGGCATACTTTATCAAAAGCCTCTTAAAAGTCTATAAAGCAGGCATTCACCTCTTGTTTAACATCTAGACATCTCTGTGTTAGGACATTTAAGGTCAAGAGAGCTTCTCTTGTACCTAATCCTTTTCTCAATCCCATGTGTGTATTGTTAATATGGATATCTAACTTTTGATAGATTCGGTTGTGAATGACTCTATTTTAAGCAGGTGACTCATCAAGGAGATTGTTGGATGATCTGAACACTGCATTGCCTTAGTTTTCTTCGGTATGGTGACAAACGTCGACAGCAACCATTGTTGAGGTATTATACCAGTACTGTATATTGTATTGAATAGATGTATTATAATATTATGGTTACGGATTTATCATTCAAAAGCTTCAACAGTTCTGTAGGAATTTCATCAGGTCCATTTTCCACATTTAGCATTTCTTATTGCGTATTCTACTTTTGCTTTCAATATGTCTGGCCCAGTTGCATTGATTATCTGAGTTAAGTTATTTCTATCGTCTTCCAATAAATCATTCAGGTATTCTGTCCATCTTTTTATTTTATTCTCTAGATCTACAATAAGATTTCCATCTTTGTCTTTAGGTTTACCTATTTGACATTTCTTTATGCTTCTCTTTATCATAGGTTTCCATTTCTTCACACTGTTCTTTAATCCACTCCTCTTTGGCTTCTTTTATTCTCTTGTTATGTGTTTATTTATTTCTTTGTAATTGTCTGGGTAATTCTTCATCTTTCTTCTTTGTTCCCTCAAGTCTAGTATATCTTGTGTTATCCACCCCTTACTCTTTGTTGTTGTTTTTGTAAGATGTTTCTTTTCTGCTGTTTGTATAGCTGTATTTATGTACTTTAATTCTTGATTAACGTTATTTGTATCGTTAATTTGTTGCTGCATTGAACGGAGGTTTTCATTTATTTCTTCTCCTGTTTCTTGTCCTATATTTTTGTTTCTTCTTCTTCTTTAAGTTCCATCTTCTATCGAAGGTTGGAAATCATCATGACTATGCGGACTCGGTTGACTGCCGCTCTAAACAGTTCTGCACTACTGCATTCAAACCATTCCCTTAAGTTCTTAAGCCAGGATATTCTTCGTCTTCCCACATTTCGCTTTCCTCGGATTTTGCCCTGCATAATAAGTTGTAATAATGCGTATTTTTGCCCTCTCATCACATGTCCCAAGTACTCAAGTTTTCGTCTTTTAATAGTTAATATTATTTCCGCCTCATTTCCTATCCTTCTAGTTACTTCAATGTTTGACATTCTTTGAATCCATGATATTCGTAGGATTCTTCTGTAACACCAAAATTCAAAGGCGGCCAGCTTATTCAGATGAACTTGTTTGAGTGTCCAAGCTTCCAGACCATAAAGAAGAGTAGAGAACACGTAACATCGAAGCATTCTCAGGCGTAGTTCTAACCTTATATCCCGACAACAAAGAAACTTTTTAAGTTTAATAAATGATGTACGTGCTATTTCAATACGTGTCTTAATTTCTTTGGTTTGGTCTACATCTGATGTTATCCATGTTCCTAAGTATTTATGGTTATTTACCTTCCCAATTTTTGTTTCTAAGTTTATTTAAATCTAGTGCCTTTCTGTGTGGTCTTGTAATCTTTTTTGGTCTCGCCTCTATCACAGTAACTACTGGGTTATGATCTGAGCCTATATCAGCTCCTGGGTACGTCTTAGTACATTTAGCAGCATTACGATACCTCCTTGCCATCATAATGTTGTCTATTTCATTTCTCACTATTTCTTCTTTGGTATGTTATGGAGATGTTCATGTATATAACCGTCGAGGAGATAATTTGAAACAGGTATTTGTTATTACGAAGTCTTCACTTTGAGAAAATTAAATCAATCAATCTCCTCTGTCATTTCTGTTTCGAAGCCCATATTTTCCTACTTGTTCTCCTACTTTACCTTAACCCACCTTGGCATTAAGATCGACCATTATTATGTTAATGTGTTGTTTTTTTATTGTTTTCAGTATTTCTTCTAAATCGTTGTAGAATTGTCATCTTTATCTGCTGTTGGTGCATAGACTTGAATAAGATTTATTGTGTTCTGTATTTCTTTAATTTGTATTAATATTAAGCGTTCTGAATAAGGAGTACAGGTAATCAGAGAATTTTTCCTTTGCTTTGAAATGATGATTCCAACTCCGTAACTATGGGTGTTGTTCTCGATTCCGGAGTAATAAAAAACGCCATCATTTCGTGTTGAACATTTCCCAGATCTTGGCCATTGGGTATAGCTGATTCCTTAAACATCGATGTTTAGTCTATTCATTTCTTGTTCAACATTATCCAGTTTTCCTTTTTCCTACAGAGAACAAACTTTTAACATTCCACGTTGCAACTCTTAAAGTTGTTGGTTTCTGCGCTCTTGTACAAGGATTTTGCATGTTTATGACCAAGTAATCCTTGTAGTCTTGTGTTTTTTGTCACTCTGCCGGACCTTGGTATCCTATTCCCATGATCAGTAGGATTTCCAGTATTTTAGTTGTAGACCATAATGACTTAACTAGGGGTACTCTATGAGTCTTTATTGCAGTTTCCCGTTGCCTTCTGCATCCTTCCGCCGTTGACCATCCTTGGTTCATCATCGAGACCAATTTCTCGATCTCTGGACAAAAGAGTGCCCTTCCACATACTAGCTCCTCTGCCCGAAGCCGTTGGCCAGTAAATGGTGGGATCGCTTATACCGGCAATCGTTCGGTGAATGATGATTTTAACAGATGGTAAAAGGTTTTTATTCATTTTTTACTCACAGAAACAAAATTGTTCGTCTTTAGTATTTATCACTCAATATTTAATATATTTGATGCTAAATTCTAGTTAGTTAGTGGAGAATTCAAGTTAGTGGAGTTTAATAGTTAAGATAAAGTATTTATCTGTACTCCAAGCTAGTGTGAATTAAACAAGAATAGTTACAGGTTGATTATTTAAAATTTATATAAATGCTCAAAAGCTTTTCTAACTTTTATCGCCCAATGAATTTAAACTCTAACTTTATTTTTGTAGTGTTTGGAAGTAATAGACAAAATGGAATTTGATATATTTGGTCCACGCGTCTTAGAAAGGCGTAAAAACAATATTCTTAAAATTATGCAAAGCGATAAAATGAAAGAAGAATTCAAACACTTGTTTTCACAAATTAAAATGCAAAGACCTGGTAGAAGAATGACACTTGTACCCGGTATGGATGTTGAAATCAAACCACAAAGAGTTACTTCTGGCGGAACAGGTAGCGCAAGTTCTCCGCCACCAAGAAGAACTTCATTAAGCGTGAAAACAAGACGATCAAGTCCAAGTAAGTGACTGAAACGTATCTTGTTTGTAACTGATGTATTCGACCGTTACTTGGTGGAAATTCATTCATTAACATAAAAACACTGAAAATTTTTATTTGCCAAACTTCCACAAAATTACGATAAAGAATTATCACTACAGCTGTTTCGGCAGAGTACAATTCTCGAGTGATCTATTTTTGGCATGCGTTTACACTTTAGGTTTCAACTGAATAAGTTGAGGAATTCATTCATTCATTCTTAGCTCCATTTATATTCATTCAACATACTTCACAAGAAGGTAATACACTATTAACACTATCAAAAACTAGAATATAATAATAGTTAGAATATCATCTTCTGTTATCATATCTCATAAAACTTTTTAATAGGCTATTCATTTTACTAATTAAATTTTTAAACTCCCAGAGATTTACACAACAGGTCCCTTACAGTTGCTAAGCAACCACCATTACCCAATCAAAAATAATTTTTACTTCCATTTCATTGGATTTCAACTTAATCTTTTAATATATACAAATTTTTATATCCTTTCTACACTATTTGTGGATAGTACCATATCACTTCCTTTCATTTTCTACCTTTATCATTTTTCTTACCACCTATGATGTCATAAATTCAACCTCAAACATTCATTCCACTAATCTAATAACTCATTTCTTTTTCAATATTAGAGATTTGCAGACAATAAATTTTATCATTTAAACAAATTTAATTTTAACTACAGGATCATTAATAAGATATTAGGTATTCTTACAACAACATAAATTTTATAATTTTTATAATTAAAAAAATTACAGTAGTCTCGGAACAAACCTATACCTAGTCACGTTCAGCTGTCTTCTTAAATTATATTCCTGTCACCTCAGCCAGTTGGTCTGTGTCGTTTTCAAATAGGTCATAATAAAATCCTATTCATTTTCATCGACCTAGAGTCACAACATAATTAAAATTTAAGATTTGGAATGATGTAATATATGGATGATGATATATGGAGGTCACAGCTACAACTTTATTGTTAACTTCAACTACATAAGGCACTGAGGATGATCTGTTCAGATCGAAAACGTTAGGCATAAATTTTGACGACACTTTTTTAAATGGTTTTAACTTATGTGTTTTTATACCAAAATACAAGTGTGAAGTGTTTTAACTTCTGTATTTTTTTTTAACAATGTTATTGAATCATCCACATTGTTTAACCGAATTTAATGGTGTATTTCCGCCTTTAGATAAATAAACACTGGGTCATCTCTTTTTGCGAAAACAAGTTTTTTAAAAGATTCTCGTAAAACCTGTCTTTAAATTCAATGGACATAAATCTCAAATTTTTATTTATTAATAACAATATTTCCCTCACAAATACCACCTGATTAAGAAATAAAAATAGGTGGAGTTTAAAAATACTCTTCTTGATTAATGTCGAAATTAGTCGATTGATTTTCGAGTGGAGACTGAAAATTGTTCTATCTTCAGATATTAACCAACTAGACTTGTAAATATCGATATTAACATGGTAATATTAAGATTAATCTGGTTTCGGACGTTAACCGTAACATGTACATTTTGCATGTCTTCCAAATTATTAGTCGGAAGTTGCAATGTTCACAATTGGGCCCTTCATAAAAGATCCGAGTATCCTCTATTCGAAAACTTTTGATGGGAGCATTATGCTTTCTTGTCATAATAGCTATTTTACGACGACAAATGTTTGTTTAAATTGGGTTAACTTTAGTACTGGACTTGTTCCTTTAACTAAGTTAAAAATAAAAAACAAACAGTCAGATATGTACACAAAGATAAAAATATGCATAACTACTGATAATTTATGCTGCTATATAGTGTAAACATTTGGTCGCAATTTTAAAAAGAAAATATTATTAGCTAAGACTTTGATAATGTTAAAATAACACAGTTATTTGAAATAAACAACTTTCCGACAAACTTTGTTTATAAACTACCACTACAAATGTTTATATTTTATATCTTTTAAACTGGCTAAATTAATAATAATGATTATGGAATATAATTAGTTGTATTAATTGCGAAAATGCTCCAATTAACTACTTACTTTCTGTTTTGTATTAGACATAGTATTAATTATATTTTAATCGGAGAATATATGGGGGTCTTCAAAACCGGATGTTATGTCATTTTGAGTAAACTAAAAAAAACAATTTACAGCTTTACTTTTTAATAAATTTTAAATATTTTTTCTTCTGTAAATTTTTAAAAATAATTAAAATAATTCTCTTATAAATTTAAAAGTATAGGATATGGCATAAACTAGAGAAAAAGGAATAAAAATTGGAAATGTCCATTTTTACATACAAACTGCTCAATTATGTGTCCCTAAATATCAATATCTGATTGGAGAAAGTATATGGGTAGTAAAATAAAAGAATATACTCATTTAGAGAAAATAATTTATTTTATATGATTACATTACACACGAAAACTAGGAATAAATTCCGTATGTTCACAGATTGGATAATTAAAATCCTGCGTATGTCGCTCATTCTCGTTTAAAGCTTTGGCATAGAATTCTAGCTTCTGAATTTGCTTTCAATTTGTACCTAAATGTTTGTTTACTAGCTCGTTCTTTAATTTTTATTTCTTTGACTTTTACACCTGGCGGTAAAACTGTAGAGTTTATACCAGTCAATGCTTTACCTTTCTTGGTTACTGATAATGTAGTTCCAGTGTCAGATTTGTACAACAGCTCTTCTTGAACAAGAATTATATGTCCTCGCCAACTCTTCTCTCGTAATATTGTAATTCTTGACGATTTGCTGATTGGGAAATGCCAACTTGGGAGCCCTTTCAATTTCTCCATATTTTTTGTTTTCCAATCTATTACTTCCAATTCTGGATATTTAATTACGGTTGTATATTTAGAAAATATACTAACATATTCTTGGGATTGAATTATGGTCGTTTTTCTTAGTACCTTCGATTTCAATAATGCCAAAAACTCGATCAGTAGGTAAAAGGCTGTGTCCTGTAACTGGATAGACAAGTTGAATTTTAATAATATTAATAGGAGCATCATCAGCAAGCCATGTGTGACACATAAATACAAGTGTGGAATTTTTGTTTTGTCCACCACATCCGTCACATATCAGATGGACTGTATGTATTTCAGAGGGAAAATCTGTATGTTTTAGCCTATGATATATTGCTCAAGCAATTTTACAGCAACCTTTTGGTCGATAAAGCTCGGTCCATGTGTATGTAAACACATTGTCTTTGGTAAGTTTTGCTTTTAAAGAGCCTTGTACTATTGTAAAATTATATACGTAGAGTTATCTCGAATAGTAGGCTGCCTGATCTTTAGACATAGAACATTCGAACTTTCACGCTTTAATATATCAAAGAAAGTTTAAGCTCTTAATTTATGCAGCTGAAACTCATTTCATTGACTTTTTCTTGTTCATTCTCAAAGCGTTAAATAGTTTCTCTTAAACAAAGACAGGTAGAGCAGACATCTGTAGCAGGTGAATCGAACCCAACATTATAGTTTGTGTTAAATATATTACGAAAAAAACAATCTCTTACTTTCAATTCGTTAGTGACTGATTCAATGTATATACGAAACAGTTTCTTAATATTAAGCTCTGGATCTAAGTATACTCTTGCTTTTGAGGCTGATCTGCAATAGTGTGATTTGTTACATTTAAGTGATTCGATAAATTTCTGATCTTATTTTCTGTGGGCATTTTTTAAATGAGAAAATCTGCCACCGTCCCTTTGATTGGTCGGCATTATCCCCAATTTGTGAAATTTTTTTATTGCACCCAAAGCTCGGTGTTTGGAAATACCAAGTATACCTAAGAAAGCCTTTCTACATACGGGTATTTTTTGTTTGTTAACAGTAGTGTATATGTAATATTTTCTACGCCTGATATTTATGACCTGCTGGTGCAAGCACTTCACAATGCTTTAAAATAAAAACATCTTGAACATCGTTTATTTTATTTCATAAAAAAATTTATGAAACCGCTCTATGTTCATCATTGAAAGATAGCAGCATTAAAATGATTGTATTTTGTGACCACACGACGGATTCTGAGGCAAACTGCTTGCAGAATATCTACAACAATGAATTAACACTGGATTAATATAAACGAGACGAAAAATAGTTATAAAAATAGTTACCTATGTTAGGTATATTAATATTTTTAGTTGTGATACTTGATCAAACATATACAATTTTAATTGTATATGCTATTTTGTTAAATAAATAAATGAAACAATTAAAATTTTCATACATTTATAAGGGCAAAAACTTTCGAATCGTATAAAATAAAGTTACAGATTTTTGAAGCACTTGGCAACGTGGTCTACTATTTTGCTCATATTTTTGTCAATTACCTAGTTAAAATGTGTTGTAAACAGTTGTAACCTAACTACATTTAATTGCCACCAAATATTGGTTATGACGTTCACAATACTGTTTTATATTTTAAGTTTAAAATCTTAACTTGCAACTTTTTGTTTTGTTCTTTTCAGAACTAGTATCGCGTTGTCTTTTCCTTGAATCGCTGATTAAAACTGGGGTACAGGTTGTTTACATGTTTTAGTAAAAATGCAAATAATTCCTATAATTGTTTAACTTGTTGAGTTATCGTTTATAAGTTTTAGACTATCTGCTTATATTCAATAACACTAACAGTATGGAATAGCAATAACAAGCAAAAGCTGATGCAAATGTCCCGTTTTGAATCTCAAACTTTGCATCTGAACCAATTAGTTCACACCAAATTACTACTAGGAACTGTCCACTTTTGCTCTTTATCAAATTATTAATTTATGGATCTTTAATCACTAATTGCAGGGGTGTGTTTAACTATATTTGGCCAAAAAGTAAAAATGTCCGGTTTTGCATCTAGACTCTAGATCCCTCATATTATGGCTTTTATATGCAACAAATAGAAATTATTTGTGGTAATTTCTTAAGCTTCAGACTTCTGTTTATGTTCTAGGAAGTGTACATTAAGTT